GCCCGGGAGCCCGGCGGGGACACGGCGCAGGCGCGCGGCGGGTCTCCGGGGTCCGCGGGCGTCCCGGGCACCTTCTTTTGCGTCTGTTAACTTCTACCGGCGCCGCGGGCCGCGGGAGGGCTAGTCGTCGGCGAACTTCCTGGTCCTCCGCCTCCGCCCCAGTGACGCGCCCAGGCAGCTGCCGAGGACGTGCCGCCCAGTGTCTGCCTGTGGACTTTGCCACCCCCTAGAGTGTGGCGGCCCGTGTTTTTGCAGGGTCGGCAACGATGAGTCAGAACCGCCGCCCCGCCTGCTCCCCCCACACGCCCTCTCCCTGTCACCTCTTGGCTGTCCCCCAAACACTCCAAGCTCAAATCTTGCCCGTGGCCTTTGCACGGCTGGTTCAACGCCAGATCCCCTCTCCCACCCACCCCTCCCACACCCAGATGTCATCTCCGCAGGCCCCAGCACCTCTGACCTGTTTACACCTCTGGCCGCGGGTTTGGCTGCCTGTTTACGTCTCCTCTTCCACCAGACCCGTGCTCCCCAAGGGTGGGCACCCGGTGAGCACCCGCCCTGCTCTCCCCAGAGGCCCAGGAGCTAATACTGGGCACAAGAGGGGACAACCGCTTCCCTCCAGGACTGTTTCCCAAACCAGCTAACAGGGCCGCTATGAAGCCTAGGACGGGCGGTGGATGCTTTGCAGCCCCTCTGGTTCCCGTGAGGCCTTCAGGAGACAAAGTGGAGGCCCTAAGCAGGCCTCAGCCTTTAGCAAGTTCTGGTTAAATCTACTGCCACCTCCATCTTACAGAAGACCCCGGAGGGCTAGCCATTGCTCAGAGACACCCCTTTGGCAACTGGAACCCAGGTCTCAATAGTGTCCTCTGGCCTGGTGTGGTGGCGGATGCCTAGAATCCCAGCAGTTTGGGAGGCTGAGACAGGAGGATTGTGAGTTCAAAGCCAGCCTCAGGCAGTGGTGAGGTCCTAAGCAACTGGATGAGCCCCTGTCTCTAAATAAAATACAAAATAGGGCTGGGGATGTGGCTCAGTGGTCAAGTGCCCCTGAGTTCAATCCTGAGAACCAAAAAAAAAAAAATAGTATCCCTGGCACCTCCCCAGACCCATCTTGTTCTTGGGTCTGAGCTGTCCTCTTCGAACGTATCAGGGACGGCCTATCTCCTGGGGCCAGACGCTGATGGCCTTATCAGAAGCTGCCAGGGGCCTTGGTTCTCCCACCCGCCCCACCCCCCTGGGCTAGCATCTGCCACGTCGGACCGTGGCCACGCCAGAGACAGCACCCAAAACCCAAAACCTGGAGGGGCCTTTGGTTCTGATTGCATCTAGAACCCTGCCCACCAGTCCACCCACACGCCTGTCCTAAAGGATGCCACCTGTCCCCACTCAGACCTCCCTCCTGTGGCTTCCCCAGAGTACCCGCCGCCCACCAGTGCTCCCAGCTGCAATCCTGGCCCGACGGCTGCCTGCAGTGTGGCCTCTCTGAGCCTCAGCTTCCCCTCCTGTCCTGGTGACGTCACTGTGGTCATTTACATGGTATTCAATGTATATAGCAGGTGCTCAATGTGTGTCCTATGAAAACTGAATACCCGCTTCACCCATGTCACCTGCCTCCCTGGATGGTGACCCGTGGTTCTATCCATCCAAGGTGGGGTAGGCATGGATGTCACCAAGGAGCTGTCCCCAGTGGAGCTCAGAGAACACTAGGACAGGACAGTCAGGGAACCGGCTGTCCTCAACCCTGCCTGCCTGGGGGCCTCCAGCCTGAGCACTGCTCCCGTGGTGTGCGACCAGGGGCCCCAGCCACCAGGACAGGCCACTACGTGGTGGGTCCTGCTTTATTCAGAGTCGGCAAGGACCCTCCCCGGCTGCTCCACACCCTCCGGGGGCGCGGGCGAGTCGAGGGGCCAGTGACCAGGGGACGCTCCGGGCTCCCCCGTCTGCTGGGCGCCTGCCCCGCCTCGGCCGGCACTGGGGACGCCCGGTCCTCGAGCCCAACTCAGCTTCGGCTTCTTGAACGGCAAGAGGCAACACTGTACAGGGCTTCCTGGACGGCGTGGGGACGGCGGCCACACGATGGCCAAGATTTAGGGGTCGGGTGGCTGGCAGAGCCGTCACCCGCAGTCTGAGGGGGCCACGGGTGGCCACCGGCGAGGCGGGCTCTGGGCTGTCTGGTCCAGGGGGCCGGGGCCCGGCCGGGGCGGCGGTGGCGGGGGTGGCGGGCGTATGGCTTGGGCGATGAGGCCGGGCAGGGCCTGCAGGGAGGTGCCCAGCGCGTCCAGGCGGCTCTCCAGGGCGGCCAGGCGGACCTCGAGTTCCTCCTGCTGGGCGTGCAGCTCAGACACCAGGTCATACATGACGCTCTGGGTCTGCAGGAGAGAGGAGAGCTGAGCGGGCGGAGGAGGGACGGGCACAGGCGACCTCGGGCTGCAGCTAAGGGGGCGGTGGGGGATGGGCACGAATGCCAGGCTCAGGACCAGGGGACCTGGAGGGCCCGGGAAGGGTGGCCGCAGCCGGAGGTGCCCTGGGGGTGACCTGGACATATATAGCCACAGGGGACTTCGGTGGGGGCTGCCAGACCTGGAGGAGGCGCTGGGCTGGGAACAGGGGAGGCTCCGGGCCAGGGTCTGAGGGGAACATGACGGGTTCCTGCCCCACACTGAGCTGGGGAGGAGGCGGGGCCTGATGAGATGGGGGACTATTCTAAGGGTCACAGATCAGGGACGTGTCACTGGAACATTCGCTGTTTCAGCAGCTGGTGGGGCGTTCCCGTCACCCCTGAAGCTTCCCCACAACCCAGAGAAGTGCTCCTGTTCACGTGGGCAGGAGACGACCCCAGGGACAGTCCCTGGCGCAGATGCCGCTCTGGCCGACAGGTGGCGCCAGAACCCCGCTCTGTGACTGACGGGGCCAGGTCACAGGAGAGATCTGAGGACTCCCCAGGCAGCACATAGAGGAGGTGGGCACCTGCTCCCTAGGAAGCTTGTCCCCCATGGGTCCCCCTCCACTGCCACCACCCCTGGGTGAGAGGGTGACATCTGCTGGTGCCTGAAGCGGCATCCAGCCATGGACAGTTCTTTGGGGCTCTCTGGGGACAGTAAACCTCAGAGTCAACCCCCTCGAATTTAGAATAGACATTTTACTTTTCCCAGAGAAAACTATTCCATTAGCCAGAAATCCTGGAGACCACTCAAATTTAACAGGGAGCCGGCGCCTGTGGCCCCAGCTCCCCCTGAAGCAGGAGGATCACCTGAGCTCAGGTGTTCAAGACCCGCCTGGTCAACAGGTGAGAGCCCCGTTCCAAGACCCAACCCAACCAAAACCCACTAACCAAAAACTGAAGAATATTTTATCTTTTATTAATTTTTTTAAAAATTAGAAACTCACATAATACGATCCAGTGAAAGACTTATTTCAAAGAAGGTTTTGTTAAGTGTATTTTTGTGAGGAACGGGTGATGAAAGGGTGGGTCAGCCTTTTAAAATCCAATTTTCAGGGGCGGGGATTGTGGCTCAGCGGTAGAGCGCTCGCCTAGCACGGGCGGGACCCGGGTTCGATCCTCAGCACCACATGAAAATAAAGGCATTGTGTTGTGTCCATCGACAGCTAAAAAATAAATAGTTTTTAAAAAGCCAAATTTCAAGGCTGGGGTGAGGCTCACGGGCAGAGCCCCCGCTCACCTGGCGCAAGACCATGGGTTCCAATTAAAACTAATTTTTAAAGTAACCATATTAGTATTTGAGACAGGTTTCCTGCTTTGTGACCCAGGCTGGCCTCAAACTCCTGAGCTCAAGTGATCCTCCTGCCTCAGCCTCCATGGGCTGGGACTCCAGTCACCACCCCACCCCCCACCCCCCGCCCAACACATGAGTCTTTTAAAATAAACCCAGCTGCCAGTGTCAACAGGTAAAGATGCCACACGCAGAGGTAGATGCCTAGTGTCTCTCTTACATCAGGCCTACAGAGGACCCTGGTCCCCGGCCAGCACCTGTCCCTCCAGTCCTCCTCTGCCCGCACCCTGCCCCGCCCGCTCACCTTGGCCAGCTCGGCCAGCGTGTTGGCCTGGTCATTCAGCTTCCCCTGTTCAATCTTTACACTCCGGAGCCTGGGGAGACACAGGAGGGTGAGTGGGGACAGGTGGCAGCTGCCGTGGGAATGGGGTCCTTCATGCACCCACCCGCAGTGGCCTTTGGGACATGCATCGGGTCTGCGGGCGGAGGGCGGCTCAACTCCCATGCTGTGGCCACTGGCTGAGCTGTCTGCAGGCCTGGCCCCAATCAGAACCGTCCCAAGACCCAGGTGAATCTTCACACCAACCCATGGGACAGACATGCACCCTGCCTGCCTCTGAGGTAGGGGTTGGCATGCCCCGCGGGTGCCCATCGCCACCATGCACCCCAGGCTCCTGCCACCCCGAGCCCCATGGTGACTTACTTTTGAGCCCTGGCAGGACCAGCAGAGCAGGAGGGAACCACGAGGCAGTTTTAATGTCAGCCCAGCTGAGCGGCACGCACCCGACCCCACCCGGCCCCGCACCCCACCGGGGGCCAAGCTGGGGGTCCCGTGGCAGAGGGGCTGCTGTTGCTCTGCAGGAGGGGCCCAGCCTTGAAGGCTCAGGGCCAGCCCCCCAGGCAGGTGCCTGTCCTCTGTCCCTCCCCTCAGCAGTGTCCACACGGTCCTGGCCATGTGGCCTTGCTGTGCCTCCCATCAGGCCCGGGCCCTCAGATCGTGTTTCACCCAGAAAAGCTGAGGTCCGAGGGGCAGAGCCACTGCCCAGCGGCATGCACCCCAGCTGGATTTGAACCCATAACCGCCCCTGGTTCTCTATGCCCTCGGCCCCTGGACAGCTGCCTGTGGGGGCAGCCGATGTGTGTGCTCTCCTGTTCCCACTGTCCCTCCTGTGCTGGTCAGCCCAGGGCACCACGTCAGGGAGGACTCACCTCCCTGCACCCCAGCCCCAGGATTCCAAGCTCAGCCTCCGTAGGGCTCCCGGCAGGAGATGCCCAGGGAGCCCCAGTCCAGAGAAGCAGAGCTGGAAAGACACCCCCAGCCCCGGAGTTCAGGGCTGGGTGCTGGGGAGCCCCAGGAACAGCAGGAGGCCGCCGGGAAACCCAGACAGCCTTGCACTGGGAATAGTATCCTTGGCTTCTCTGAACTGCCCTGTTTAGGGTGAACCATGTTCTCCCCAAAACTACCCTCACTCCCAGTACCTTAAAATGTGACCAAATAGGAAATAGGGTCTTTGCACATGTCCTCAGCAAAGATAAGGTCATTAGGGTGGCCCTAATCCATTGTGACCAGTGTCCTTACTGAAAGGGGAGGGGGGCTGGGGGAGCTCAGTTGAGGAGCACTTGTCTAGCATGCACGAGGCCCTGGGTTCCATCCCCAGCACCACAGAAAAACAAAGCAAAATAAACAAACAAAAACCCCTCCCATGGTAGCCAAGTGCTGTGCCCCGAGCCTGTCGTCCCATCTACTCAGAAGACTGAGGAAGGAGGATCCCTTGAGTCTAGGAGTTCAAGGCCAGCTGGACAACATAGCAAGACCCTGTCTCAAACAGAAACAAAAACAAGAGTCTTACCACAGTCATGTGACAAGGGGCTGCTGTCATCAGAAATCAGTCCAATGATAACAGTAAACACAATAAATGTAAACGGACTAAACTGTCTAGTTAAAAAACAAGGACGTCCTGGGTTTGGGCACCTCCCTGACCCCCGCCCCCCCCAAAAAAAAGACAGGGATGTAAAAGGCATGAGGAAGTCTTTAGGGTGACAGATATGTTCATATCTTGGCTGTGGTGATAGTGTCATGGCGATAGTATACATATTTTAAAACCAACAAAACTGGGGGGGAAGGGGAGGGATAGAGGATAGTTAATGGATTTGATCCCCAGCACGGGAGGGCATAGGAGGAATGACTTCTAATATTCAGGGGCACTGGAGGGCAACTGGCTGACAACCTCTAATTGTGATGCGTCAACATAGCTAGTCACAACGCAAGTAAATAACATATACTTTGAGACAGAGTCTTGCTATGTCACCCAGGCTGGCCTTGAACTCCTGGGCTCGACTGATCCTCCCGAGCAGCTGGGACCACAGATGTGGACCACCAGGCTCACGAGGAAATGATAACCACTCAAAGAGATGGATATAACAATTACCGTGACCTGGTCTTCACACATATACACACGCATGGAAACATCACACTGAACCCCCGTAAGTCTGAACGATTATTCTGTCAAGGTTTTGAAAATATGAAAAAGCCAGGTGTGGTGGTACACGCCTATAATCCCAGCAACTTGGGAGGCTGGGGCAAAAGGATTGCAAGCTGGAGGCCAGCCTCAGCAACTTAGTGAGACTGTCTCTCAACAAAAACAAATAAGGCCTGGAGATGTGGCTCAGTGCCCTTGGGTCCAATCCCCAGAACCCAAAAGTAAAAATAAATAAACAAACAACATTGACTTCATCGTTTCTTTTACTTTCTTTGGAAGTGGAAATTGCACTGTTGTTCACGTGTTCTTCTGTCCCAGAAAGTAAAGCTTTCTCAGAAACACTCAGCTTCCCTGTTCAGCAGAACTGGACAGCAGGACAGAGACCATCCAGCCCCACGGCCTGAAATATTTACTACTTGTCCCTTTACTTGGAAAAACGCCCTTCCTGGCGACATTTCAGATTCACCTGAGGAACTGAGGTTCCTGCTGCACCCAGGACATCTCGTAACTGCTATTGGAAGTGGTCTGTGAGCTTTTTTTAAGCTCCCTAAGTGACTCTAATGAATGGCCAAGGATGAAACCCACTTGATTAAATAATTCCTGGGGCCAAGGGACCACAGAAGTAATCAAGTAGTTTCTAATGATGCCACATAACCTCACGGATCGGATCACACATTTCATTCCAAGCTTCCTGGGAGGCAAAGCAAAAAGGGAAAATAGCTTCCAAGCCAAAAACGTTCAACCATTCTTGTTATCCCAGAGAGTAAAGTCTGCTTCCTCCACTTATATTGGGTGGCTTCTGCGACTCATCTGAGGCAACTGCGGTGGCTGTTGCCTGGCCTGTCGCTTGCCACCCCCCCATCTTCTTCTCTCCCCCAGCACAGGATGGCAGGTCCCAACCAACTGACCACTTGGCGTGGAGGGGACCCATGACGAGGCCACGGTGGGCTGCCTGGCCTGGCCCTTGGCCTCCTCCTGGGGGCCACAGCTGCCTCCAGGCCCGGCAGCCTGGGAAACACGAGCGGGAAAGTTGCTGGACTTACTGATGGATGGCTTGGAGGAACTTACGCTGGTGTTTCCGAACCCGGGCTTGGTCTGGCCTCTTCACCAGCCTGGTGTGTTTGTAGATGAGCCACGTCTCCCTGAGAACGTTAGCGGCGGCATTTTTTACCTGGGGCCAGAAAAAGAAGTTTCTCAGGGTAGGTAGAAAACCAGGGAAGGTTCTAGAAACCTCCAGGAACCCCCCAGGTCTGGAATCCCTGGACTGTAAGGTGTGGGGCTGTGGGAGCACTCCACACCCTAACACACGGGCTCAGCCCGGCCAGGCCCTGGGGTACACCGTGGGAACCTCAGGGCAGCGCATCCTCCCGTTCTGATATGGCCTTGGCTTTTTTCATACGAGGGGTTGAGCCCAGGGCCCTCTGCCAGAGAGACATGTCCCCAGCTCTTTTTCATTTATATTTTGAAACAGGGTCTCACTCAACAGTGACTAGCAATCCTCCTGCCTCAGCCTCTCAAGTAGCTGGAATTTCAGGCGTGAGCCACCCTGCCTGGCTGAGGCCGCCCTCTTCTCTGTAGGGGGACACTGAGGCACAGAAGGTCAATCTGCAACCTGGCCAGGTCAGAGAGCACGCACGTGGCACCAGAGGCGGGGTCCCAGGATCCATGCTTCCCTGTCTGGGCCCTCGGGTGGCTCCCCAGGCCGCCGGGGTCTGTGCACAGCATGTCATTGTGCACTGGGGGCAGGGCTCGCAGTCTCCACCCAGGCAGGGCGGTCTCTCATGGGTGCCTAGGCGCGCCCACTGGTGCGGGGGGGAAAGGCGAGCAGGGAAGGCGGCCGTGTCCAGGGCTGGGGTCCTCACCCGCTTGGTGAGCTGAGTGTCCATCATGAAGTTATGCACGTGCTTTTCAGCCTTAGTGAGCTCCAGCTTCCGGGCCACCACGGCCACCACGAGCGCCGTGCAGCCAGCTCCCTGCAGGCAGAGCGAGGGGCACATCAGCCTCCAGCCCTAAGGTCGCCTCCTCCTCAGGAGACCTGCCCTGTTCCACCCCTGCTGGGCTGCTCCAAGCCCGCCATGGAGGCAGATTCCCCTCTGGGAGCCCAGGCGGCCTCCCGCGCCTCCTGCCTGGCCCAGGGGCGGGGAGCCCACGAAGAGCTCAGTCCCCAGCCGCTCATTCTTCTCCCCTCCAGGTGGGGGCGGCCGAGACTCAGAGGAGAAAGGAGCAAGAAGCAGACCTGAGGCCCGCAGGCCACGCCCACAGCCACGGGCACAGCCACGCCCCCAAGGCGGGAGGATTTGGAAGATTTTGTTCAAAACTCCGGGTCTTGGACGGGAGACAGGGCCGACGTACACAGGGCCACCAAACAGGGTCAGAAGGACAGGCGAGGGCTCAGGGCATTTGCGGGAGGGGAAAGGCAGAGGGGGCCCAGGAAGAATGGGAGCTCCCCTGTGGCGGTTGGGGACTTGCTTGTGGCCCCCACCTACTGCTCAGGGCACCAGGGAGACGCGGAAGGGCAAGGCCAAGGTGGGAGGGAGACAGAGAAGAGTGACATGGAGTAGAGGAAGGGGGGGGAGTTCTGCCACCGAGAAGCAGGGGACAGGGAACCTCAGACACCCAGGGGTGTCGCAGGCCCAGGGAGGCAGGTGGTCAGGGTGGCCGGGGTGGCAGAAGGCACCCATGACTGAGCCGCCAGCTGCTTCCTTCTGCCACTGCCCAGTCACAGGCTGGCAGCAGGGAAAGGGCCACACTGGGACCTGAGGGTGGGGGCCAGGACGGCTGAACGTTTCTCTGGGGACAGAAGGAAACATTTATGGGAAGGAGCAGGGAAGGGCCAGGACATTATCAAAAAAAGTCCTGGATGGGTTTGAAGACCAACATGCCAAGCCTGGGTGGGCGGGCAAAGGGGAAGCAGGGGCTCCCCACCTGGGCCAGAATGAGGATCCAGGAAAAAGGACAACTGAGGGACCCATGCAGAAGCACATGGGTGCTCCATAGCCACAGTCTAGACATGACGTTGGCCACTCAGTGCCAGCTCCCAGGCCAGGCTGGGGTGCCCTGAAGATGAAAAACAAGAATCTCATAGATGGTGCTGGAAATTGGAGCCTGCGAGGCACCGAGCACAAGGAGATGCGCTTGGGTAAAGACGGAAGGGGAGAGGGTTGACAGAAGAGGGAGCAAAAGAACCTGGCTGAAGCGTCCAGGTGTGGCTTCATGTGACACCTAAGGCTGAATGGAAAGGGCCCAGGGCGCTGGGTTCTGTGCCCACCACCGAAATCCAAAAAAGCCACCAGATTGACCTGAGTGACCAGTTCCATGTGCAACGGGGGCAAGGGCAGGGAGCAGGCTGCAGGGTAGACACAGAACTTTCTGGAAGGAGCCACGCCTGACATCCACGCTCATGAAGGGAACATGGCTTCTCCACTTCATCCTGGCCCCCCTGGGTTCCAAGTCCTCCTGCACCAGCTGCCTGGGGAGGGGAGCGGGCACGGTCTCCCGCTTCCCCCCTCGACTCCAGGATGAAGTGAGGCCAACCCACACCGAGTCCCTCCGCAGAAGAGCGTGCAGCCAGTTGGGGGGGGGGCGGAGTCCGCTTGCAGCAGAAGCGGCGGCCAGCAGGGGGTGACAGGATGGGGAGAGCGGGAGGGAAGGGAACAGAGCGAGGGGGGCGGCGGCGGGGGCGGGAGGAAGGAGGAGCACTTGTGGAGGAGATGAAAGAAACTTGGCGAAAAAGAAGGTTCCAGAAGGAGGAGATGATGGAAAGGAAACGGATGATGGAATCAGGGGAAAGAGGAGGACGCCCACGCCCACGAAGGCGGATTGAGAAGCCCAGGAGAGCCGGGTGCTGCTGGCCCGAGTCCACAGACATGCCGCAGCCGGGAAGCCACACAGGGCCCTGGGCTCCTGGAAGCCAGCCAAGGATGGGGGCACGGCGGGGCTGCCCAGGGCACTCATGGTTCCAAAGCATAAATGAGCCTAGTTTTTGTAGCAAGAGGAGAAAGTGGCAGAGAACAAGCTGAGAAACCAAGGTTCCTTGCCTGGGATCCAGGGCTATGAATAAACTGGGCTACGGAGAATAAGGGGGCAAAGATGATACTCTGCTCAGAGTGGACCTCAGCTCCTGGAGGGGCTACTCAGCCAGAGCTAGAAGAGCCCACTGAGAGACCACCGAGGCCTGAGGGTGCAGATGTCGCACGACAGGAGAGGGAAGGAGCAGGGGAGGAAGGGTGGGCTGGCAGGACCTCAGGGCTCTGGAGGAGGGGCTCCGGGCAGGGTTGAAGCGGGGTGTCTCCCGCCCTTACCATGATGCCAGTGAGCAGGCACACGCCCTTCCCGCAGTAGGTGTGGGGCACCATGTCACCGTAGCCAATGGAGAGGAAGGTGATAGAGATGAGCCACATGGCCCCCAGGAAGTTGCTGGTCACTTCTTGCTTGTCGTGGTACCTGGGGAGTGGGGGTGGGGCTGCCATCAGTTCACGGTGATGTCTTGCCCGTCACACCCCTGGGGCAGGGCCGGGACTGAGGGCCCCTGCCCACCATGCCCACCGGCTGCACCAGGCCCTGACCTCGGCCACAGGGAGTGGGCCAGTCCGGGGCATGGTTCTGCTGGGGGCAGGAGGTAAGGGCGCCACAGCCTCCTTCCCCCCTCTCTCCCAACCCTCCCCCTTGCCCAACACCCAAGCTGCTGCCCCCCAGCCCTGGTGACAGGACAAAGAAGAGCCCAGGTGAGGGTGTACCCACACACGAGCACACAATCCCTCTCCCAAAAGACACACACACAGGGACACAGGTGGCTGAGGGTGCCAGAAGCAGCAAGGAGTGAAGGCAAGGATTTAGGTGAGACACCAGGAAGAACTTCCTCAGCCAGTGAGGCCCCAGAAGAACTATTGGACAGGCCAGGGGATGGAGCCCAGGACTTAAGAGAAGGAAAGCCAATACACAGGGGAGGCACCAAGGCCCAAACCCCGGGGTCTTGGGTTTGAGAAGGCGGGGGCAGGTCACTTGGCACAGGGGACAGGCCTGGAGCTATAGGCTGGTATCCAGGGGAACAATCCCCAAGATCTTGGAAAGGACACAACTTTGTCCCAGTCTCAGCCAGGCCTGGGGTCCCAGCCACAGGGGTTCAGAGGCACATCTGTGGCCCCTCAGGGTAGGGGCTGGAGGTTGGTTCTCTGGGTCTGGAGCAGCGGGGAGACCTGTCTGCATCCTTCTCCTCCCGGGACAACTCTGGATGTCCAGTGCCAACTGACAAGACTGCTGCAGGGAGTCAGGGGCCCTTCCCCGCTGACCTCGGCCTTCCCAGCCTCCAGAAGCCGAGGCCAGCTGTGGAGACCACCCGGGGACAGTTAAAGTCAGCAGTCGGCTGGGGAGACGGGAGGTGGGGACCCCTAGGCCTGCGGGGCACAGGGAGCCTTGGAAGGAGCAGTTGTGCTGGACACAGCCTGGGGACAGGGGTCTGGGGGAGGGAAGGAGGTGGAGGCCTCCCGAAGGGGAGCTGGGCAGATGGAGCCCCCTGATCAGCTGTTTGGGGGTCTCCAACCCCTGAGTCTTGGATGCTTTTCAGGGCCCCTCCAGTCTGGGCTTAGGCTGCTCACGAGGTGGGGGATCAGAGACAGAACCCCCTCTTATACAGAAGCATGTGAGTCCCAAACTGCCCCAGCCTCAATGGGGGTGAGGGGGGACCACAGCACCCGGCCCAGGAGCCAGGAGGGTGGGGGCGGAGGCGGTGAGGCCACGCCCACTGGAGCATGAGGCCACGCCCACCGGAGCATGAGGCCCAGCCCACCGGAGCATGGGGGGCTGCGCTGAGAACCCCAGGGGCAGAGGCGAGGAGCATGCAGGAGGCGGGTGGGGCCAGCAGCGGGGGCAAGCGTCATTGCTGGGCTCAGAATTTAGGACTGGCTGCCCTTGGCCCTGCCCCGTCTGGGGGAGAGGCCTGCAGGGACCCAATCTGGACCTCAGGGACACCTGACCATGGGCCACCCCAGACCTACTCCTGACCCCGCTCCTGTCCTGATGGGCGGGGATGGGCTCCGGGACTGGCATGGGCACATGGGGGTCCGAGAAGACCCCCCCCCCCGCAATGACTCCCAGATGGCAGACCTTGATCCCCAGAGGAGCTGGCCCCGGCCACTGTGAACCAGCCATCGGGTCCGAGAGGGGCTGCAGGAGGGGTAGGGCGTCAGAGCGAGGGGGAGTCCAGCTGGGATGGCCAAGGCCCTCCCGAGCTAGGCATGAGCAGGGGGAGACCCTCTTGGACAAGGAAGCCCAGGACAAGTCCTGTTGCCCCTCAGAGACTCAGTTTCCTCATCTGTAAGTTGGGCTGATGGTCTGCCGCCTCCCAGGACTGTCCAGACAAAGCCCACAGAAGCCCTGAAGGCCGGGTGACCCCAACCCGCTAAGCACTCAGGAGGGGGCTTCAGAGCCGCCCAAACAGGACGCTTCTCCAAGCGCCTTCCTCAGGGACACAAGGACCCAGGCCCAGAGAAGATGGCCTCCAGCCAGCGCGGGGTGCCCCCAGCTCCTCCGGGCAGCGCTGGCAGCCCGCTGACCCTCACTCGCTGTCGGCAGCTAATCTTAAATTCCCAGCAGCAGGGGCCGCGCGGGGGCTGCAGCTCTGAGCGCGCTGAGCTCGGCCAAGGGCGGGACTCACATGTTCTCCCTACAGTCCGGCAGGGCGGGCAGAGGGAGAAGGAAAGCTGGTTACCGTGGGGGCAGGGGAACAAGGGCGTGGGGTGTCCCTGTCCCGCTGCGTCCTGCTGCCTCTGCCACCCTGGCCTGAGGTCCTGGAGGAGCACGGGAGGCCTGCGGAGGGGAGGTGGGGAGAGCGGGAGCCCCGCCCACGTTGGGGGAGGAGCCAAGAGTGGCCCAGGACACCCCCCCAGCTGGGATGAAGGTCCTCAGGAATGAGCATTGAGACCACAAATGGGGCCAGGGGCACCACAGGGCTCTGGGGAAGGGTGATGAGTGGAAGTGCCAGCGGGAGGGGGGCCAGGGTCACGGGAGACGTGGATGGGCAGAGGGACAGAGGCCGGGGTCCCCAGCCTTCCCGCTCGGCCTGGCGGCCCGGGGCGCACCTCTCACACACGCGCACGGTCCAGGCCGCGATGATCCAGGAGGAGATGCTGAAGACGAGCAGCACGGTGCCCGGGCAGATGGTCATGAGCGTCTTCATGACGAAGCGCGTGTTGAAGGTGATCTTGTTGAGCGCCCCGATGCTGCGGCTCGAGGCGTCCGTGAAGATCTTGCTGTGCAGCAGCATCACGCGGCCCAGCAGGTAGAGGCGGAGGAACATCGGGATGGACAGCAGCACGTCCACGTCGGCCTCGGCCACCGACGGCGCGTACGTGAAGGCCAGCCGCGCCGTCCATGTGAAGCGGTAGTGACCGGGCACCGGGTGGATGGCGCACACGGCGAGCTCCAGCGAGATGAGGAAGACGCGCTCGCAGGTCATGGCGATGCGCCAGTCATCCGCGCCGTTGTCCACCATGAACAGCTGCCGAGAGCGGACGCAAGGAGGGCGGTGGGTCCCAGACTCGCACTCAGGTCCCACCCCCAAGAGCGCCCTTGCCAGGAAACCCCACCCAGCCTCAGGTTCCCAAGAAAAGTCAGAAGCGTGGCCTCAGAGGAGGATCCCTAGTTCTCAGCTCTGGCCAGATTCAAACTGAACATCACACGGCCGGGCACGTCTGTCATCCCAGAGGCTCGGGAGGCTGAGAAAGGAGGATCGCAAGTTCAAAGCCAGCCTCAGCAAAAGTGAGGCACTAAGCAGCTCAGCGAGACCCTGTCTCTAAATACAAAATAAAAAGGGCTGGGGAGGCGGCTCAGTGGTTAAGCGCCCCTGGTTCAATCCCTGGTTCCAAAACAGAACAAAATCAAAAACACACAAAGTGGGGCTGGGGATGTGGCTCAAGCGGGAGCGCGCTCGCCTGGCATGCGTGCGGCCCGGGTTCGATCCTCAGCACCACATACCAACA